TGTCACCATCACCTCCGCGCAACCAGGGTGGGGCAGGGGCCGCAGCCAGGGGAGGGTCAGGGTGTCTCTGTAACTTTTTCTAGTTATAGTTCCCATCGTTCTGTTTGTTGTTTCATCTGTGGACCCGTTCCCTGCTCAGTTGCTGAATCTGCAGAGGAGACTAACTTTACAGTGCACAGGGGCGCCTTCCACTGACTGGTCACTGAGCTAAAACATCCAGAGACCACGGGCCACGAGCCCAGCAGCAAGGCTAAGGACCATCCCACCGCCACATGCATCCATCCAAGCACAGCCACACCCTACCCTCCCTTGGTCTGGTCTGGCCCTTCGTTCCTGTCACAGCCGTTAGTTGGGCCTGGTTGGTGCTGGCTTAGGCCTTGGTTGGTCCTGGTCTTTATCTTGGCATTTGGCCTTGTCTCAACGTGGCTCATCTAAGCCTTGGATTTGATCTTGGCCTTGGTTTTGATTTTGAATTGGCCCTTGGTCCCAGGCCTTATTCTGCTCTGTACAGACAGGTTTATAAATGGCAGGGAAGAACAGGAGATGGCGACTAGGAAGGGGAAGTTGGTTGTGGTGTGAGGTTAGCTGCAAGGGACACAGGCCTTGTCCTATCCCAAGCACTTGGAAGGCCGCCATCCATGCTATCCACTCAATTCTCAAAGACTTTTTATAATTAAAATGCACAGTGCTAGTGAGTGTGAGATGAAAGAGTTTTCTTCAAACATAGGGTTGAGAATCGAAGTTGGTAAAGTCAGGAAAGTAATTTGGCACGGTGTGTCAGGAAGCCAGAAAAACATTCATACTGTTTGTCCCAGTAAGTGCAACCCAATGATATTATCTTTAGGAAATAAGCTGTTCCTGGAGCAGCACCCCACCCACCCACCCACCATTCACTCAAGGTTTATGGCAGGCAGCGTGCTAGGTTCTCAGACTGCTGCGTGAGAGAAAAAAAGAAATTTCTCTGCCATGATAAAACTTCCATCATAGCGCAAGGAGACGGAGAAGGAATGACCAGAACGAGTGAGTGGCTTACATGGAAAAAAGGAGTGCTGGGGACAAAGTGGGCTGAGCTGTCCTCTGGGCACAGTGGGCAGGAGGCTGCACTTTTCAGTGGGGTGGTCAGGCTGGGCCCTGGACGGGGCCATGTGAGCAAAACCAGGAAAGCACGTGAGGAATTGATTATGTGGGGATCTGCAAAGGAAGAGAAAGCAGCCTGTGCAGAGAGTGTCTGGAACGTTCCAGCATCAGGGAGGTGGGAGGTGGGAGGTATGAGAGGGAGTACAGAGGACACCTGGCCTTGCAGGCCAGTGACAGGTGCTGCCTTGTCCCAGCAGGGAGGTCACTATGGGCCTGGGAGGGGCAGTGGCCACAGCCCACCTCCCCAGCATCATTTGCTGAGATACCCAGATGGGTATAAGGGAAGCGTGTGTGGAAGGAGGCTGTGACTCCATCCAGGTAGAGAAGGTGCCAGTGGGAGCTGTGACTATATGCCAACACAGTGGGGGGTAGAACCAGCAGGAGTCCCTCAGAAACATCAGCCTGGGCCCCAAACCATGGGGAATTCTGCAGCCTTTAGGTGTGGCTTCCACTCATATGGTTAGTGCCTCTGCGTCCTGTTCAGTGAGGAGTGTGTGTTTGTGTGTGTGCACACTTACACACACGACAGATGGATACAGACCCAAGATGAGCTTGTCCAGGTAAAAAAACTACCCAGAAACCTCACAGGAGGGGAGATGCTGATGCCACAACCCAGTCTGGGAAGGTGAGAAGGTGGTACCTGTTTTCCTCTGGGTTCAAGTTTGCTGAGCCTTCCGGATTCTAGCTGTATGTGTACTCACTCACTCAGGGAGTGCAAGAACCCAGAGCCCCAGGCTGACAGGTGGCAGCAGTGGTGGGCAGGGGGAGCACACCTGGAGAGGAGGCTCCAGGCCCCGGAGCAGGGCTGCAGGGAGTGACGTGTGGCCCGAGCTGGCTGGAGCTGGTGGGGACTCCAGAGGAAGCCCTGCAGGAGAACAGGGAGGGTTCTGGCTTCCAAAGCCAGAGTCAGAAAATAGAACTTGACCCTGAGAACAGTGGAGCCACAGGGGACTTGAGGCTCTGGGAGGAATGTCTGGTGACAAATGCTCTGTATTTGGTGCTAAACAAAGTCTTCCGGAGGCCTTTGTTCTGGACGGGGCTCCTGCATGCCCGGCTGACCAGACTGAGCGCCACGAGTCCTTTTAGGAGCTGAGGGTTTATACGGCCTGCGAATATGGCTGCACTTGAAGAGATCTAGGTTACCTTGAGGCATCTCTTCTGCATCTATCCCCACCAGGTCTCTCCCACGGGGGCACAGTTAAATACCTACACCCCTGGTTTAACCAGGCCTTTCTCCTTCCCCTTCAGGCTGCTTCTTTCACTCTGTCCCATGAAGCACCTTCCTTATTGTGGCTGGCCCCCTAATCACTATTGCTTTTATAAACGAACCAGGTTGTTTTACCAACAGATATCCTTGTTCCGGTGCTGAACAATGAGAGGCTCCTAGGTTGGAGGGATCTGCACAGCCCCTCTTCCTGCTAATCAGAAGAGAGACGTCTGGACTAGTACTTTCGCTGCATGGCCCGGCCTGTCACCCAGTGGTGCCTAGCTCTAACAGACCTCAGTGGGTATAGCCTCTCCCCTTTCTCCTTTGCCCCTCAGCCACGTGGTCGTCACCTGGGGAAACCCAGCTCAGACAGATCCCAGTTTCTCCCCTTCCCACCACTTTTGCCCCTCAGCCACATGGTCCGGGTAATTCCCTGGGGAAAGCCAGCTCTAACTACCCCTGCTGACAAAGTCTCTCCTTTCTTTAATCCCCTGCCCCTTACTTTCCCTCCTAACACCCCTTTGGGGTGCATTCTCTCAAATTGGGACGAGTTTGATCCAGACACTCTAAGGTTTGATCTTATTCTTCACAACCGCCTGGCCACAGCGCAAGCTGGACAGCGGAGAACAGTGGCCACCACATGGGACTCTAAGTCACCCACCATCTTACATCTTTTGCAAGAGGGAAGAAGAATGGGCTGAAATACCCTATGTATAAGCTTTCTTTTCTTTATGGGAGAATCCTCAGTGGTGCAAGGCGTGTACAAAGCCAAGTAAGACGATGGTGTTAAAAGATCTCTCCGGTTCCCACCTGTTCGGAGCTGCCAGGCCTGAAGGGGGCCCTAAAAAGGGAAGGTGGTACAGTGTCTATCTCCGCCACAGGCAATATTTTATTATATTAATTCTGCTAATTGGTATTGTGATACTTCATCTATGTGTCAACTTGGCTAGGCTGTGGTGCTCAGTCGCTTGGTCAAATGCCAGTCTGGAAGTTGCTTTGATAAGGTGTTTTGTAGATATGATTAGCATTGAAAGCATCATGCTTCAAGTAAAGCAGCCTGTCCCCACGATGAGGGTGGTCCTCACCCAATTGGCTGACGGCCTGGAGAGGAAGACTGAGGTTTCCCGGAGAAGAAAACTAACTCGGCCTCGAGACTGCAGCATGGACCTGCCTGGGTTCCCTGCCCTTGCCGGCCCCCACAGTTGCATGAGCTAATTCCTTAAAATCTCTGAGCCCGGTGGATGGAGACAGAGACAGAGACACAGAGGTCGAGTGAGCTTTCCTGTTGATTCTCTGCTCTGCAGAGCCCACGAGCACAGGCATGTTTTACCAGAGACATTAGGCATTTCCCCACAGTTTCCCATACCTCCTCCCTTGGGATCTGAGGTGCTTGGGGGATAGGCAGGGTGGGGAGTCCCCCAGGGTGTGGGAGGAAAAGCTATGGAGATGAGGGAAAAGCGGTTGGGTTTGTTTCCCAGAAGCCAGATGAGATTAAAGTAGCAGGGAGGGCCTTGTGGGGAAGAAAGCTCCAGAGACCCTCCTCTTGGCCTGAGCTCCATGACCCACCCAGGGCCAGGCTCCTCCCGGGGCAGAAAGGCCAGCAGCTGCCCAGAGGAGGGCACAGGGGCTCCGCGGGCTCAGGCAAAAGCACAGCAAGTGGTGCCTGGTGCCAGGACAGGAGGGGACATGAGGCAAACCCAAGTGCCTCCCTTCAGAGGCCAGCAGGGCTCCCAGGCACAGCCACCCACACCCCTGTGACTCTGTGCCAGCCACATGGATTTGGGGCTGTCTGTGGCGGCACTTGACATGATCTACTCGTGGGTTTCCAGACAGAGAGAATGGAAATACCAGATGCCCGGTTAAATGTGAATCTCAGATAAACAGCAAGGAACTATTTTTACCAATACTTGGGATATATTTTTATACTAAAAGTTATTATTTATCCGAAATTCAAATTTAGCACGGTATCTTGCTCCAGTTACCCTGATCAGCACACCAAGTCCAGGAAGACAGAGCTATGGTCGTCACACTGTGGCAAGTGAGAGGGTCAAAGACGTCTTGGACCGAGACATCTGGCACAGCTGGCCAGCATGCGAAGGCCAGGACCTGGTCACAGGCTGGCTGCTCGCGGCATGGCAGGGCCAGGCCTGACCCTGGGCGGGGATGGTCATCTACCCAGGATGTGATGAGGCCAGCAGAGCAGGGGCCACCACCACTGAAGGTGCCCCTGGCAACTAACACTCTCCCATCTCCAGCTCCACTTGGCCCCCCTCCCAGCACAGGTGGGTGCTCTGGGAAGATTTGGGGGAACTTTCTCTCTGTCTGGAGCTTCAGTCCTGAAGGACCCCCTCCCACTGATGCAGGAGGCATCAGAGGAGCCCAGGCAGGGCGCAGATGGCAGGACAGCTGATGGCCATAGCCACCCTGCCTCCCCCATGACCATCCCAGTGGCTCTGTGGTGTCCCTACTCAGATGTCCCCTAGAGCCCTGTGGCAAGAGTTCCAGGGACTGTGTGGGGCCCCAGTTGCTGGCTGGACACTCGAGCCCCCAGGAACATTCCCCAGGGCCAGGGTACTGACTGGTATTTTGCTGAGAGCTGAGGTCAGAGCAGCGAGGTGGGTGGCCCTCGGGACTAGCAAAAACAGAAAGTGCTGAGTGAGTGAGCACAGGGATGTTTATTGACCTTGAGAGGGGCCGTGTGTGGGAGGCCTGCAGGGCCCCCAGAGACCCGGTTCCTCCCTTGCTTGGACAGAGGCAGGGCTGTGGCTCCTCAGTGAGTGAGTGGCAAAGTAGGGCGGAGCCTTGGACTCCTGCTGTGGCCTGTGGTCTTCCTGTGGCCCCAGGGTCAGCGACAGGGCCCCTAGCTCTGAGGCCAGGTGGATTAAATGCAGCAGCGTTGCAGCAAGTGCAGGCTGGAGGCCCCAGGCCAGAGGATGGGCTAGTCCACACAGGGGTTGTTAACTCTGCACCCTAGGAACCCACCTGGTGCCAGAGCCCCCTGACAGGGAAGCCCCCACCTCTGCCCTGACCACTTCCTTCCCCTAAGGTTGTGGCTGAAAACCCAGCCCTGAATCCATGTAACTAAGCGCTAAAGCGGTCCCAGGCTGAGGAGCCGCCATGCTCTGGGACAGAAGAGGGGCCATGGGGGGAGGGGATGGGGAAGGCCCTCATAGCAGGGCCCAGAGGACCGACCCCAGGCTGAGCAGGACCCCCACAGACAGGGTCCAGGTGCTGCCCACCACCAGGACGCCCGAATTGCAGAGGTCTCCCTTGCAGCAAGATATCTTGGCGCTCATCGGGTACAATTTCGGAGTTACAGAGTCTTCCTCCGGGCAGATGGGAAGGCAGAGCTTGTTCTCCACTCTCACTTCCTGAGACTCTGCAAGAGAGGGGGAGGTGAGCACCGTAGCCCCCCAGTCCCCAGGGCCCTGCTGCAGGGGCATCTCAGTATCTCAAAGGCTATGGTCAGCACAGGAGTCCAAACACCAGAGATGTCAGGACCAAGGCCACCCAAGTCCTTTGGCCACAAGGACGCTGAGGCTGAGATGGGCAGTGAAGGCCAGGGGTCGCCCAGGGAACCAGCAAGAAAGGCAGCAGGCCCCCCAGGCGGAGCTCTTTCCTTAGGCAGCCCCGCCCTGGCCCCCCACTGTGGGAAGTGAGCAGGCTGTGAGGGCAGTTGTCCAGGGCACCAGGCTCCGGGACAGGTCTCATCTCGCTGAAGGCATGGCATGGACACAAAGCTCCGGGGCAGCCCTTCTTCATCCTCCCACGGCCCTGCTGATACTCCACCATTCCAGAGTCATTCCTTCAGCTTGAAGCCACCATCTCCCGGCTCCTCCCGTCACATGCACAACTCACTAAATGCTCATGGCCCACCTCCCTCCCTCATTGAGCACGTGAGATCCCCCACATGGGGTGAGGATGAGGGGCAGTGGCTGTTTGGGGGCCCAGGCAGCCGCAGTGGGTCGGGGTGTGAGTCTGCCAGAGGGAAGCAAGGGCCCTGCTGTTGGGTGCTGGGAGGCGGAGGGATGGCTTCCCTGATGAGGGGCCACATGCTGTTGAACCTGGAGGCTCATCTGCCTCTATAGACCCACAGCACCCTGGAGCCCAGGCCCCTCAGCCCTGCCGCTCTCCCACTCCCCCCTGCACAGGCCCTGCCACCAGTGCCCACCCCACCCCTCTCTCCCCTCAGGAGCCACACACCAGCCCCCAGAGCACTGGCAGGGTTGAAGGGGGACCTTGGTCCACAAAGCAGAGATTCCTCCAAGAAGCACCCACCCCAGGCACTCACCCACAATGGTGGTCACTTCCTGGGAGACACAGACCCCATCTGGGAAGGCGCACGTGACCGCAGGGCAGGAGTTCCCGGAGATGCCCCCCGGGCAGTGGTAGCAGCGCAGACCCTGGGCTGGAGGAGAGGGCATGGTCAGGTCAGGCCCCAGGGAGGCGCCCTCTGGTCCCAGCACGCAGACTGTCCTGGTGGGTGACCACAGCAGGTGCCAGGACATGTGAGAATACCCCTGGTGAGCACCTGCACCCACAAGCACACTCACTATCACAGCAAATCCTTGGCCAGCACCCGTGACTGGTGCGGCGGACCCACACACCTGCCTGCGAAACATAGCCTGGCAACCCTCAAACTCAACCCCCTTGATCGAGATGCACTGGCAGGCAGTGCCCAATCCCAAACACACACCCTCGCCCAGCACCCTGAGCGTCCTCAGACAAGTGCACAGCCAGCGCACGTGGTCATGAACACTGAGCAGGCACCAGAGGAGCACACCAGCCATCGCGGGCATCGACTAACATAGCAGCCCACAGCCAACCCCCTTCAGCATGCAGGACATCTGAGCACACCCACCCGCAAAACACCAATCCCAGCACACTGTGGAGACACCGGGAACACACTGGAAATGCAAATTTCCTAGAACTCTCTCCAGTGCTGCCCAGCTCACCTCTCTCTGCACACAGCAGGGCCGCCAACAGGACCAGAGCAAAGGTCTTCATGACGTGGGGACAGCTCATTCTAGGGTGAGGGATGCAGAGACAAAAGTTCTGAGTGCTAGAGCAGCCCTCAACCACCCAGCACCTGGGAGCTGGCATCCCAGTCCCAGACAGGAGCAGTGTCTGGAGCGTCCCGCACTCTCTCCCACTCTGTCCTCCCAAGGCCAGCTCTGCCTCCTAACAACCTTCCCCCCATCCCCCCCTCCGTTCCTTCCTCCCCATCCGGCCACCCTAACCCAGAGCCCTCCACCCTGTCCTTCCACCAGCACCCTCCCAGGCCTGGCCCACATCTGCTCGCCTGCCTCCCTCTGGCCAGCCTGGCAAACTCTAAGGAACAGCAGCAGTCTCCAGGCAGTGAGCACCTGCCCCAGAGAGTGGCTCCTCCCCTTGGGCCGTTCTTCATTGGCCGGAGCCAGCACGCCCAGATGACTTTCCGCTTCACAGAAACTTTGGACAAAAGCAGGAAGTGACTCCAGGCCACTTGCTTCCCCCCCCACCAAAGTCTTAACATTAGGGAGTACAAATGTTTTTGGTTACATGGATCGCTTTTGTAATGCTGAGTCAGGGTCATGAGTGTGTCCATCACCCAGATAGTGCTCATTGTACCCACGGGAGGGTTATTTGGGAGGCTACAGGACTTAGTGATGGACAGAATGGGTGAGGGGAGTGACCCTCTGAGACAACTGGCTTTGAGCCTGAGTGACGGGGGTTTGCATTTGCAGAGCTGGAGAAGCCGAGTCAAAGGTGGGGCCTGGTGCAAGGGCGGCTCTCACGCTCTGCTCCAAACCCTTGCCAGGGTCCCTAAAGCAGCCAGTAAGTGATGTGCGAGTTATTCATTCATCCATCATAATCTTCACAGGGATTACTTACAACGATGAATCGTCGGCTTGAAATGACTTTGAGCCGATCCTTCTTTCTCTGGGGCGTTTCCTTCCTGATTTCTGTGGCCCTCTGGCCCATCCCCCACCTTCTGGGCCTTTGGGTCGGGGATCGCTCTTCCTCATTCACGGTAATGGGACTGAGAAAAGTCTATTGAGTAAGGGGAGGAAAGGGTGGGGGCAGAGATGCTGGGGGCGCCAGGCACTGAGCACAAAGCAAAGACGGGGCCTCTGACTTTCGATTTCCCAGATCCCAGAGAGGAGGATGTGGCGAAAAAGGCCCACAAGTTGTCAGCTCATCTCAGAGGGTTTTCCCCACCTCTGTTCCAGTCACAGCTCTCCAGCGTATTTTAAACATGACATGCGCAATCTGTCTGGCTTTTTCCTCTTGACACCGTGGGGGCATTTGGCCACCTCTACTTCACCTCTGCAATAACAGAAGCCTCTGGTGGCTGCTGAATTTTATGTTTCTTTGCATCCTGACTCATTACTGATCGTTTTCCAAATTTATTATTTTTATTATTTATTCTCTAAACTTTCCAGCCATACTATCATATCATTTACTGATTTTACATATTTTTTCAATTTAATGCCTTGAATTGTTTAATTTTTTCTAATTGCGTTGATGAATACTTCTGAATGAATTTAAAATAGTTGTGAAAATGCTTTTAGCATTTTTATGTAAGATATTGACTTTAAGAAATTATAGACTTTCTTGAATATCTTTAATTAAGAAAGGATATTTAATTTATTCAAAGGTATTTTCAAATTCTGTTCATTTATTCACATGATCTATCTATTAATATGATGAATTATATTAATGAATTACCTAATATTTAATTATCACCAAAGTCCTGGAATACATCCTATTTTGTTATAGTGTATTATTTTCTTAACGTGCTGGTGGATACTGTTTGTTCATATTTATTTAAGATTTTTGCATTGATATATTGAAGAACTATTGGTCTGTGATTTTCCTATTTTTAAAGCTTTTATTAGGTTAGTTATCAATATTATGCTGCTTTATTTAAAAATTTGGAAATATTCTCTCATTTTTTATGTTCTCAGACAATGTATGCATCAGGAGAAAATCTGGTCTTTAAAGGTTTTGTAGAATTTTTTGTGCAAAATAGTCTGATCTTGGCCCTTTTTTCTGGGATAGTTTCTCATGCTAGGTATTTCTCTACGTTCCACTGAAAT